GGCCAGCTCAGTGAGCGGAGGGAACAGTGCTGATTGGGGGCATTTGAAGCTGTGCGATAGGTCATAATCTCAACTAAGTATGTTATGAAACGGAAATTATAGCTATGGAACAGTGCAAATTCACATAATTACATCGAAATGAAAAGGGAAACAAAGGAGGACTCTGAGCAACATCTTGAGGGGAAATTACCACAACCAGATGGAAGAAAATTGTTCCCTAAGTAGAATAAGGCACCTTTCCAGGCGAATCCTACGAATTTATCTTATATGGACAGTAAGCTCCCTATCCACAGTCCATCTTAAATTACTGTTTTCCCTCCAGTGAACCTTTTCCCCCTCTGTGGGAGACACTAGTATGTTCTTGGCGAAGTTAACGATCACACAAATTTCAACAAGTCTTTCTTTGTTCTTAGGCATCGATCTTTTTTAGCTGCCTTAAGCATTTTTTTTTTTTAGGTAAATGGCAACAAAGGAAACAGAGTTCCCAAGGACATTAAATCTTAAACGGTTTAAGACCGGTGCACTGCTCCGACAGATCTTCGCTCGCTGTGTCAGCCCTGGCCCTGAGTCAGGACAGCTGGGCCCAGTTCTGGTTCCCTCATTAACTAGGTATGTGACCTTGACCTCCAGCAAACCTAACCTTTAGTCCCGTGTCCTCCACCAGGAAATGAGGATGGCACCCCTTTCTTAACCTGCCTCGGCATGTAAAAGGTTTTCATGGAAATATTAGATGTGATAACATTTTGAAAAATTAGAAGTTTAATATCAATATGAATCAGGGCTTATTTTTCAGTTAGAAGAAAATTTTGTAGATGCTAGAAGCACAGTGTATGTGCTTGTTGGAGGACCTGGACTCTACAGCAATAACCATGCTCCGTCGTCCTTTCCTTTCCTGACGAGCACAGGGTGTTAATCTCCTAAGACCAGCTCTCACTCTTGCCAGGGTGTTGGGAAGGGTACGCTGAGAGTGCTCTGAACAGTTTTAAATTTCACAGTGGGGTATTGTAGGAGTTACTTTATTGCCAAAACAACAGACTGAAAACTGAAGCCTAGAAATGGAGTAAAAATTAAAATTTCAAAGAGAAAAAAAATGCAACTGGGTCATAGAAGTGCCACAAGGCCTAGTAGGTGGTCTGCATTCTATTTAATGAAGGCTGTAGCAGTAACAAGAAAAAAAGGAAGAAATAGAATGTAACCAGGTCTGTAATGTTTTTAGGGAGTAAGAGAGTATCATGAATTTGAAGGCTTAAGGGCTGGTCTTGGCATCGCCTCAGACTTACTGTCTCTTGCCTGGTCCCTGATATACTGGGCTTCTCCATTTCCGGTCCCCTTCCCCTCTGCTCTCTCCCTGGTACATCACATCTGAGGACAGAAGTGACTCTCAGTTTTCTCTTTCAGGAACCTTGGGACTAGATGAAATGAGTGTCCCTTTCTTGAGTGGGTTTACTCAAATGAACATGCTGATTGAGTCTATGTGGCTAGACTGGAGAAAGGGGATAACAGATGGCCGTTGTCGTCCTCGCCTTGCTGAAGATCTGAAGGTACCTGCTATTTTAGGAGGGAGAGAGGGCGTCTAGTCATGTGCATCAGGAAGGTTTGGGGCAGAATTCCATCACTTGAGCCAGGCCTGTCGTGGGTAGGGGAGTCCACAAGCAGGTCCCAGGAAGGGGAAGGTGGGCCTATGCCACAAAAAGGCCCAAGCCAGAGGCAGAGCACCAGGCAGGCCTTGAGCAACCACCACTCCCGTCTGTCAGGAATGCAGACAGTGCGTGAGGATGTGTGTGTATAAGGGGAAGATGGAAGAAACTACTCTGGAAAGACAACCTGGTAGGGGCACAGAGTGTGGGGTGTCCTGAAAGCCCTGCTGAAGACTTCGGCCTCTGGGCTGTAGTTAGTTGGAAGAAGATGGTGAGATACTGGTATTGTCTGCTCTTCCTCAGGGAACCTCACTGGCATGGGTTTGTGCCCATCCCTCTCCTGCTCCTTGCCCCTACCCTACACAAGAACATCCCTAGACCCAGGAAGAGGCGTGGGGAGCAGCCCAGCTTGAGGGTCCCCTGTGAACCCTACGGTGGGTTCAGCAAGTACCTTCTAACCTCCACCTCCACTGGCCCCAGTGACAGCTTAGTCCCGGGTCCTGCATCAGGCTTCAGGCCCTGACTGACTCCAAGGAGAAAGTACGAACGAGGCGTTGCCTGACTCCCTGCTCAAGGCTAAGACCCAGGCTTCCAGGCTGGGTGGGCGCCAAAGCTGGGCAGGGCCGGACCAGCTGGGGCAGGGCCATAGGGGCCTGCTCAGTGTGCTCGAAGGGCCGAGAGTTCTCCAGAGCTCAGGCACCGCAGCATTACCAACAAGAACCATCAGGAATAAAAAAATAAACGTCGATCCATCATGCTAGAGGAAAGACCAACTTTTCTATCCTCTATGCTCACTACAGAAAATGTTAAAAAATTAAAGCAATATGACAAAGTAAACAAAAAGTGTGTGGCAAAATGTAGGAGGAAAGCATCCTGGAAGTGTGCCACATAATTAAAAAGGGATAATATATTACTTTTTAAATTTTTGTAATGTTTGTGGCATTTAACATCTTTTGTATTTTATGATTTGTTGTGATTTTTTAATTCTAAATAGTTCCTTTCATACCTAAGTTTGTAATTAACATTTTTGGGTTTTTTTAAAAGATTTTATTGATTTTTAGAGAGAGGGTAAGGGAGGGAGAAAGAGATGGAGGGAAACCTTGATGCGGAAGAGAAACATCAATAGGCTGCCTCTCAAACACCCTCACCCAGGAACCTGGCTCGAAACCCAGGCATGTGCCCTGACTGGGAATCAAACCAAGTGACCTTTTCTTTGTGGGGTGATGTTCAACCAACTGAGCCACACTAGTCAGGGCTATTCTTTTTCTTAACAATCCTCCAATTACTTAAGCTTGAGGCCCCTCAAATTTGGATTAGCCCTTGGATGATTCCATAATATCAGCTCAGTAAACATTAATTACAGCTGCTAAGTATGCTGAGTTTCTAGGACTGAAGAACACTAAGGAAATAAAATGCATTTCAAACAGAGACAAAAATAAATAATTGAATTAGTAACTTGATTGGAAAATCTTTAGGACTGGGACCTTTTAAAAATTAGGATAGTGTTGGGCTCTGGACACCACACTACCCCATGAAGGGACCAGACTGCATAAGTGGGAGTGGCTGTCCCGTGGGCTCTGCTGGACACACAGTTATGTGGCATTAATCATTTCTAATGCCCTGGCTGGCATGGCTCAGTGGATTGAGCACCAGACTGAGAAGTAACAGGTCACCAGTTCAATTCCCCATCAGGGCACATGCCTGGGTTGTGGGCCAGGTCCCCAGTGGGGGGTGCATCAGAGGCAATGGCACATTGATGTTTCTCTCCATCTCTTTCTCCCTTCCTTCCCCTCTCTAAAAATAAGTAAATGAAATCTTTATTAAAAAATTAGTAATTTCTAATGCCAATGCCATCCATTTTCACTTGTAATTTCCAGCAGATTATTTTCCCAATCAGGTCTCCCAATTGTTAATTAGCTGGGTGTGCAAATATGAAATATTCAAGAAGGCAGAAAGGTTCAATTTACTTCTTCACATGCAAACTTTATTTGCCAAAGCTTAAGAATAATGCTGAAAGGAAACAAAAATTGTCTTCAGTACTAACCGAAGTCCGATTGAATAATTAATTTCATGGTACATTTGCTCAACCTGCTTTATTTTATAGGGTGAATACATTTGAACATTATAGAAACTTTAAAAAAGAAATTTAATATGTTTGAGTTTGCTGTGTATATGAAGTAATGATTTATAGGACTGAAAATGTTGCAGGATTACAACCCGCCCAGAGTTACAATTTCTGTCTTTTGAAATTCAAAACACAGACAAAATACATCAACTGATGGTCTTCCAGATACTGGACAGCCACGGGCAGAGACGGGTCCTCGCAGGAGTCCCACGATCTCTTTGAATTGAGGAGACAAATTGATCAACACAAGCCCAATTAGTCTCCAAGCTAACTTTTTCAGTAGAAATTTAAAAAAGAATACCTGATGCTAAAATTCATATGGAAACTCAAAACAAAACTAGTCTGACAAAGAACAAAGCTGGAGTGACACAGACAAATGCACAGAGCATTGTATGTTCAAGGACCAGACAAAATAATACTGAAGCGTGAGCTACATCACTTTTGTAATTATTTTTAATGTCAAAATAATGTCTATTGGCCTGGCCGGTGTGGCTCAGTTGGTTGGAGCATCATTCCATAGACTGATGAGCCACGAGTTCAATTCCCAGGCAGGACACATACCCAGGTCGCAGGTTTGATCCCCGGTCAGAGAATGTAAGAGAAGGCTACCAGTCAATGTTTCTCTCTCTCGCTCCCTCCCTCTCTTCTAAAAGCAATGAAAATATGTCCTTGGGTGAGGATAAAATAATAATAATAATAATAATAATAATAATATTCTATTATCATTGTTTTAATATGGTTAACTGTTTTCTTACTATGGGACAGTGTTTTGCTGTAATAAATAATGCTGCTGTAATAAATAATGCTGTTATGAACATCTGTGGATAAATCTACTTTTTCTCTTTAGGATTATTTCTATGAAATGAAATTACAAGATTAAAAATACATATTTAAGGCTCTGGATACATTTTACCAAATGTTTGCATCAAAATACCCTCCTACCGACAGCGTATGAGAAAGTCCCGCTTCACGGCATCATTGCCAGCCTTGAAGGTTCCTTGAAAGACAACAAATCCTTGCTAATTTGAAGGTGAAACAATATCTTCTCAATTTTATTCTTGTTTCTGTGACTACTAGTTACAGTATATTTCCCCTTTTGCTTTTCCTCTTTTACCAACAACTGGTTCATATCCTTTGTACATTTTTCTATTTTTCCTCCACCTGAATGAAATTATTTTGTTTTGTAAAGTTTCCATCGAAACAACAATAAAACACTCACTTGAGCTCATTTTATTGGATTGATTTAAGTATTTTATTTAAAGAAATATTCTGAAGAGTATGGTAGTTTATCGATAGGAAAAATATAAAGCATACACGTTTAAAGAACATTTTGTACTGACATTACAGGAAAAAGACTCCTCCAAAGTGCATGATTAGTTTTGTGGTGTGCTAAGTGAACGCACTCTGCAGAAATAGGGTTTTACCTTCAAAACTGAGCACATTACCCAATACAGCAAGAAAAGGATAATAAAAATCACAGCTTTAATGAGTTTAAAATTTAGTAGCCACATCTGATTTGTTGACGAGTATGTTCTTTCATTTACCTCTTCAAGGTAGTGCTTATTTTTTTCACCTCATCCTCTGCATCTTTATCCTAGAAAGAAAACACAAACAGACAATGAAAATTCACACATTCATCCTGATACTCAAGGTACTTTGGAGTAGACTCTTGTTGAGTGAGGGGAGACTTTTTTGAAAGACCGTTACACAGAAACCATGGCTCTCTTAGGACGGGAGTGATTTGGGTCTCTGAGAACAGGAGCCACGTGGAGAGCTCTGTCCGGGCTTTTCCCCCACCAGGTGCGGAGTGGCAGGAGACAGGAAGGAGACTGTGTCAACAAAAACACCGTTTTCTTCTTCAACTATGAGATGTGGGGCAAGTCCTGGCCCTGGCTGCAGAGGATGTGAAGAAACCCGAGATTCCACTGTAAGGTCCAGACAGACAAATACGCATTTCAACTACTGACTTTATCAGGGCTTCATAGTTAAGATTCAGTCCTATAGTATGGTTTATAGGACTCTACACGTACTGTTATTTTTTTAAAAAAAACAAGTGTGTTAAGTTAGAAGGAGTGGCAATAAATTCAGGTGGTAGGGTATCTTATGCATTTTTGAAGTTAACAAACATTTACTGAGAACCTATCAGAAAGAACTTAAGGAATGTAATAAGTTTAAAATAAACAGATGAGAAAAAATGGACCAAATAGATATTTGAAGTAGCTGCTAGCTAGATTTGTTTTAAAAACTAGAAGTTCTCTAATAGCTTTAATCATAAACATTAATACACTGACTCAATGGTAGTGTTGGATCAGCCAGAAATTTACCTTCTGTCAAATCAGTATTTTTTGAAGGTTGTAATAAATTGCAACAAATGAGTCTAAGGTGTTACTACATTCATTAAAAGAACTTATAAAAAGCCACAATTCATGTTTATCTTGGTCACCCTAGGGTTAGCTCAGTGTCTGGCACCTAGAAGCCCTAAATGTCTGCTAAATTAGTGGTTAGACGCTGGCACACAGGAGCACCAGGAAACACACAAAGGTGAACCCTAACGCACAAGAGCATTACCTAAGATACCTGAGTCACTTACAACGCAGGCTGTATTTGTCCACGTTTCCATACCTCCTTGCCATTCCAGATACGCATTTCAAAAGTGATATAATAATTAGGACTCATTATGTGTTCTGCATTCTTTCAGTTACATTAAATGCTGTTTCCTGATTAAACAAAGTCTTTGTAAATATGCTTAAAGTTGCATAAAAATATAAACTAATCAACTGAGGAATAGTGAAACAGTAAAGGAGAAATGTTCTACTCAGCATGTTTCTTGATCTTTTCCGTGGTGTTGAGGGCAAACACCAATGTACTAGATTTGTAACCAACAACATGATTAATCTACTGAAGAGAGGTTATCTCATTGCTTATTATGTCTTACTGAATTCTGATTCAACATTTCTAAGAATGTATCACAGTTCTGTATCTTTACAGTATTTTCAGTAACATGTCATTTGGCCAAAGTATAAATTATAGGTTGAATTGTGTACTAAAGGGTTCCCGATAGAGTATTTTTTCCAATCTGAGTTTTCTTATATAAACTCAAGATGAAGATGTTTTTTTGCTGACATGAGGCCGGAGGAACTGCCAGGCATGCAAACTCTCAGGTCGACTAAGGCATGTGCGTTTCTGAAGACTTCCCTTCAGCCATGACACGACGAGAGATTTGTGGGGTGAACACCCTCCCACGTCCTGGACTGATGCTCTGTGAGTGAAGGGCTCCCATGTCTATTCCACCGAATTGCTTCTCCAGCATGAATTACTCTGTATTTCCCAAGTGGCTTCCTCCACCTGGTAAAGACCTTCCTTCCCGGCTTACCTGAAGTTTTCTGCGCACAGCCAGGTGTGAGCTTTGGCTGAAGGCTGCCGGGCTCTCCCTGTGAGCACTACCTGGTGTCTCTGGTGGTTCCAGCTGAGGCTGAGGTTCTTCTACAAACATCACAGTCACACGGTTTCTCCCCAGTGGGCCCCATGTCAAGAGGGCTGAGGGGACGGCATCACTAACAGCTATTTCCCATGGGATGACATTCGTGGGGTTTCTCTGCAGAGCGAATTCACTCACCCCACTAGAAGGATGAATCGTTACTGGAGGCACTTCCGCAGTGTTCCCCTCCTGTGCGGGCTCCCTGATACAAACGGGGGGCAGCTCCCTGGCTGAAGTGCTTCCCACACTGATTCACTGTAAGGTTCTCTGCAGTGTGAGTGAGCTCGTGCTCAGTCACTGCTGAGCTGTGAGTGAGTATCCCCCCACTTCCCACCTATTCAAAGAACTCCCCTCCAGCGAGAAATCTCTGCTAGTGGGGAGGAGGTGAAAGCTGGTACAGGTTTTCCATGTCCACGCATCTATTCATTTTTCTACATATTGACTCGAAGAAGACCATTCGGTGATCACCTCTAGTTATAGAGTCTTTGCCACAGTGGTGGCACTCGCCAGGTGTGTTTCTCTCTGGTGCAGCGTGTCAGCTATCCACGTACCCATGAGGTCTTCATTATGTTTCAGGCACTTCAGATCGTGACAATATTTATGCAAATGTCCTCTTGTAAGAACTCAGCTATGGCTTGGAGCTCAGGTTATTAGTTTCTTCCCCAGATTCAAACTATTGAAAACTTTCTGCTGAGTCGGCACACATTCTCCACCCTCAAACTGAATCTTGCCTTACCCGTCTGATTCACAGGACAATGCCGACACGGAGCAGCAGGTTCACCCTCGTGGACCTTATGACCTTAGGTGGCTCCTTCCTACATGTCTACATGGAAGTCCGACCTTGGTTTTTAAGACTTTCCTGCTTGGACTCTGGTCCTGGGGAAATCTTCCTTGTCCCGCAGATCTCCCCCTTGAACCAGCTAGGAAGTTTCATCTGATGTTCAGAGCTTATACCCCTAGGATGTTCTCCAGCCTCACACGACATTGAGGTTGGTGCCCCCACACTCTGCAGGGCTTCTCTCTCTCTCTCTCTCTCTCTCTCTCTCTCTCTCTCTCTCCAGCAAAAGGCCAGGAATCTGTACTTTTAACAAGCCCTCCACTCCCAAGCAAATCTGAATGATGTAAACCCCAGGGGTAACTTTCTCATTTCCTTAGAATCTCAGGTTACACAGCAAAGCCCTAGCCCCCACCCCGCCACAGGCTGCAGTCTTTTTCATTGTATACCAAGCCGCCAGCAGAAGGGATAGCCCCGTATTTATGACACATAATTTAGACAGGCTGAAAGCAGGATTAGGATTTTATTACGAAGGAGTTCCTAATGATAAGGAAGATTCTCAGTCTCTTTCAAAGGTTGGAAATGTAGTCTGGGACTTTAAACAACATGTAACTGCAAAGACAACTGTGTCACCTGCTCATATGAACAAGTATTCTTCACTTGTAGCATTCCCACAGACTACTTCTTCCTGTGCTTCTATCTGGAACATTGTCTTTACTATCTGCCCTCTAAGAGTTTATCTTAGAAAAGCAATTAGCGTCACTTCAAAATCCTACAAGTTTTAAACGGTTTTTTCTTTACTGGGTCAGCACACCCCTTGCTGTAAGTGTATATGTGTGTGTCGTACCATGCTTCGTAGAGCTGAGCTCTCTCAGAGTGCTCCAAGTCCATAACCCGACTGCTCCCTCTGGGCAAACAATTTTTGAGCTGCTGGTGTAATCACTGTGTCACTCGGCAGTCACTCTCACGCTGCCTTTGACACAGGAGTCCTTTTTAATTTAAGAAAAGGAATATTTCCCAGGACCCGAGTTTACCTTCCTAGGGTCAGGAAAACGCCACATGAACACTATAGTTTCAAGTTCTGAGAATGGAAAGCTGCTCAGATACACGTGTCTCACGCTAGTGCCCAAGGGCTGACACTCCCAATACGCTGTGCACTGTGATGAGCACCACAACGCCAGAAGGAGTTGCAAGTGCCACAGGACAGAAGCAAATATGTTCTGCAAGCTCACGAGGCAGAGGAAACTAAATGGCCGTGTTTCCTGCGTTTTAATTAGTGGCACGGCTAGACATGTTGGAAATGAATAAACTGGTCAGCCGAATCACCAGTGGGGTGTGGATCGATCTGGAGAAACTTTATAGAGACAGGGGTACTACGACTCACCTCATCCTATTTTTTTATTTTAAGGAGTTGACATACTCCTGGCAGTACATTTACTACTTGGGGGACAAAAAAGAACTGCTAGGAATACAAATGGAAACATCACTGGGGAATAAAAAGTAATGTGAGAAATATGTTAATGCTATTTTGCGTATTACATAAATATTTCCACAGTGTCCAGCTTTCTTAGTGACCTTTATTACTAGTCCATGTATTATTGCTATTAGCACTATTATATTTGTATGGTATTAGTTTTTCAATTCTTCCTACCAGTACTTACTGAGTCCTACTTAGATCCCAGGCACTAAACTTGGCCTGGTGAATGAAGCACACCTGGTTACCACACAATCACACAAATAACTATATAATCACAACTGTGCTAAATGAAGGAAAAGTACAGGTACTTGCTTGCCTGGGAGTGTCAAAGAAGTCTCTCCTGAGGAAAGGATGCTTCCGGTAGGGTCGGCAGGAGGAGTAGGGTCACGGCTGGTGAAGGAAGCAGCACGGGCGGGTGGGGGTGTTTCCGGAAAAGGGAACAGTAGGTGCTGAGGGACAGACGTGTGCAGAGGAGGGGACATCACAGAGGACATCAGAAACTCCAGAGATTGGGAGGAGCTAGATCAGACCCTTGAAGGGCTTGTTAAAATGTTTGAACTTCATCCTAAAAGCAAAAGATTTTAAAGCAGGGAAGTGACATGTTGACGTTCTGGTTTAATCTGTTGCTTTGGCTGCTATTGAAAACCAAGAACGACAGGGCAGGAGGCAAAAGCTGTGAGGAGACCCATGGGAGGATCCACGTGGTGGGCTGTGAGGGGTGGTGGCAGTCGGATGGCTCGGGGCATGCTTTAAAAGAGGAATTCCAAGAATGTCGTGACTGGGTAGAGGTCTAGGTTGAGTGGAAAGGAGGAAGGAGGTGTCCAGGATGATTCCCAACCTTCCCAGGTGAATAGATGGGGGAGCCATTTACTGAAAGGAGAAGATGGAAGGAGAGCAGATGCAAAGACCTGATGATGAGACAAGCTGGAGACATCTGCAAGGCCTTTACGTGGAGATGCCGAGTAAGGCATTAGAGAATCAAGCCTATAGCTCAGAAGATGGGTCTATAGACGGAAATTGGAGGGCCCCTAGCAGGTGGAAGGCATTTGAAGCCACGGAGGTAGGTTTGGAGGTCAGGCAGGAGGAAAGGGGAAAGAAGAGACTTAGGTAGGTACCAAGGATCAAAACCTGAGGCTAGTCAGTACCTTGCCCTGTGAGAGCTCCACATGTCACAAATAAACATTGGCATGTCAAACGAGGCACTGTACCTCATAATCATACTGTATGCTAATCTCACATTTCAACAGGAATGCGGGCACTCGTTTTTAAATGACTGCACACAATTCAAACCGACATCATTCCAAAGACAGTAGGGTCCCATCAACAACATGGAGCAAGCAACCAACAGGACAAGAATCTGCATTTTGCTCAAAAAAATCACACAGTTTGTCTTCTGGAGAAGGAGCGTTGCTACTGAGACTGCTGCTTCTCACTGTTAACCGACGGAACCAACTAAGGGGTTCTAGTTAGAAGGACAGTCAGCCCTGGAGGAATCCCAAACCTGTAAGCAGCCCAAGACCTGCAGCGGTAGCTGCTGAAGAGCCCAGTGGAGCCTGATCAGCCATGTTCAAAACCACAGGCGTCCCTGAACCCTGCAGTTCCCGGGCAGGCCTTGCTTCTCTTCCCCGTCAGCCTGATTTCCCACGACTGCCCTCAACACTCCTGCAACAAATCTTTGCTTTCCCACCTCTGGGCCTTTGTTCATGACAGACAATGTGCCTCCCCCCACACCTTCCCACGACATCTTTCCATCTCTGATGCTACCTGATGTCTTCTAGGTAACCGAAATTTCTCCCTTTTCAATATTCCCTAACCAATTACTTGTATCTCCTAGGCACTCATGCTTTCCACTCTGAGCTTAGTTATTTGAACATATGCCCATATTCTCTTCTAGGCGGTAAGCGCCCAGAGGGCAACAGGCAATGCCTCACATGTTTCTCCCCCAGATCCCAGCAAATGCCTGAGCCGGCATCACTCCAGCAGAGAGGAAGAGAAACGCTTATTTCTGAGGCACTTCTTTTTGACTGTGATTCAGAAGATGATGATGTTCAGCGACTGATGTATTTCCTTTTGTTCCCACGATACAAGCGAATGGCTCATGAGAACATGGACTGAGCTGTTAATGCTGTGAAATTCCTAAAACTCAGAGTGCATCCAGAATTCTGAATTAGTGAACAAAAGGGAAGGATCAATGCGATAGTTTCTTTTTCATTAATGGTAGGTGTTCAAAGACCAAGAAAACGTAAATTCCCATCTTCAGTCTTCTACATGGCCTTGGATAGTGACACCCTGCTGTGAGCTGGGGACTGATGGTGGCCACTCCATGGACACTCCTCTGGTTCTAAGGTAGGCGGCCTATCAAGCTCGTTTCCTGTCCCTCCTCCTTCCGAGTGGGGCTTGTCCCATAATCCGCTGTCTAACACCTGGTAGACATCAGGATGTTTTAACTTGCATGGTGTGTGAGTGAGCCTCTTAAAGATCCAAGTGGTCTCCTGGTGAAGTGTGATCAACAGCGATCTTTACAATTTCATAGTATACGTGGAATCCAAGTCGAGATGCTTTAGTCCGGAAGAGCACTCCAGGTGTGTGTAAGCCACTGTGCACATGTGAAGCTGGAGTGGTACCGGTGAGACAATGGCCCCATCCGCACCGCCTGGGCTTACTCACCTCTCTGGTGACACAGGGAAGCAGCATCGCCATGTTACAGAACTTCATGGCATCCTCTCTTTTCTTAAGATCCACAGAACACTAGAAATGGGAAATAACCAACATTAAAGGTAATCTCATTTTAGGTAATGTAATAGACTCAATGCCTTAAAACAGCCATCTTCGTTACCTTGGCAAGGAACAGGTAATTGCACTTAGAAAAACCAGGGTTCAGATCTTCAACCTGATTTTAAGGGAAAACAGAACACAGAAAAACAGGGTGATATTAAAGCCACAATCATCAGTGAAGAGGACATGTTTCAATAAATCTAATATTAACCAAATTGACCTAGAATTTAGGATGCTTGTGTCACAGCTGAATCCTTTTTATCAAAGTAGCTTTTGCATGCAAATACAGCTTTTTAGTTTGACCAATAAAATGAAATTATTACTATGGTCATAAAGCTTACGAAGCAATGAGATACTTTAAGGTTTGGGGGTTCTTTTGTGTAACCATCTTCTCACTTCCTCTTCTGTATCCTTCCTCTACTTTCCTTTAGAGAACAACAACAATGAAAAAAAACTGGTGATACACTGCCCACCGCGCCCCCGCCCAGACAGGTCCTGTACGCGTCACAACTATTCAGGAAGCGAGTACAGCATGACCGCTCTCCCACGGCAGCATCTCCCACCACATTCACATTCAATTTCTTCAATTTCAACATCTTCTGTCTGAGTTGAATAGTATCTGAGGTCCACCACCTCCAGTACTGCTAAAGAGAAGACAGATCCTTGACACAACCAGCCCAAGTAGTAGACCTACTTGCAGAGTCAAAGAAGTAGGAGTTATGAGGGTGCTTTTACCCCTCATCTGCTAATCCCCTAGGTACCAGCTCCTTCTCTTCATCTCTGGTAAATAGGAATTCTTGTGGATGCAGCTGTCAGAGAGCTCTTCATAGAGCCTAAGGCAGTCTTTGCCTGAGCCAGCTTTTGTGGTTTATAAGGGCCTATGCACATAAGCTCCCAACCTGGTCGCCACCCCAGAGGGATGCAGAGCCCAAGAGAATACTTTTAAAAATTTACCAAAGTGTCTGTTTTACAAGATACAAGCATTCCAGACAGTTCTAATATAAAAAACTAAAACTTTCCCTGTTGTACTTTTATTTTGAATTTCAATCTTATTCCCCAAGTGGTAACCACTACCAACAGTTTTAATGTGCATCCTACCACGCCTTTACCAAGAACCGCCCCAAAATAGACCCCCCCAAAATAAAGATAATTGGTTTAAAAAAAATAAAATGGGATCATTTTCTACATATTGGTCCAAAACACTTTACCATAACACATTACAGACACATCTTCAAGTTAGCATACACAGATCTATTCCATTGTTTCTTAGAGCTGTATTTCATACTATACATAACTAAATTAAGCATTCTCTTAGACATTTATTTAGACTTATTATTCACTTACTAATAAGGCTGAGTGAACATACTTACTCCCACATGTTTGCGTGCATGTGTGATTATGTCTGTAGGAGAGACTCCTAAAGTTGAATTCTGAGTCAAAGCTATATGTATTTTAAAGATGGACATCAGTGGAGGGGAATCCAAGACCCAGGGTGCAGAGGAGCATTCTGACAGCTTAAGCAAGTCTATCTCTTGTAAAGGACAGTTACTCCCTGCAGAATCTGAAAAGCGGGGGTCTTGAAAGGGGAAGGACAAAATCTCTTAGGAGCCAGACTGGGTGTAACTCTTTACCATCCAGTAGATAAACTGTGGATCTGGCTTTGAACCTGCAAGGCTGCCGACAGACTGAAGGAAGTTGCAGTTCAGTCCTAGCCAGAACTTTGGACGTCATGTAGAGCCATCTGGAGCGCCGATGGATTCTGGTTCTCCGGCTTCTCCTGGCCTGTCCAGTTATTTCCATTTCAGCTCTTTGAGTTTATTAAGTGCATTTCTTGAGGTATTCTAATAAGAGAAACCTACTGAACAATTGAACAAACTGAGCTTGCTTCAATTGAAGTTCTTTCATGTTCAGTAACTATACCAAGCTCTGTCCAAATTCTATCTGAATACCTACCAAATACCTCTTTGGAGGGACAGAGTAAAGGGGGCCGGGGCAGGAGTCTTCTGTCTGGGCTCCAACAACATGACCTCCGGGGTGACTCTCCTCAGGTGTGTGGGATCCAAGATGTGTGTTTCCTGCCCCTCCTCTCCACCTCCCAGATTCCATAGCCCCCACACTGCTTCAGCCCTTGGCACCTTGAGCTCCTCAGCACCCTCAGCTGCTGCAGTAAATATGGGACAGAGCAGTCCACATGGTACGTGTCACTGTCTCGACACATACCATGGAATGCATTTTCAGTCAGAAACTAAGTAGTGACCGCATGGTGAGGTCCCCAAGCTGGTTTGTCAAGGTGTTCACATTTTAATGAAGTAAAAATTCTGTGAGCTTTTACAGGTGCTGGGCACTCTCTAAGCAATTCACTTGTATTAAGTTACTTAATCTTTAGAACAATGCTGAGGATGGTCCTATTACCTCCACGTTATTGTTTAAATTGAGACAGAGAGGTTACGTTACTTGCCTGATGTTAATCAGCTAGTGAGTGGTGGAACTGGAAATCAAGCAGGTGGGCTGGTTCCAGAGTTTTCGTACTTACCTGTGCATTAGTGGGCCTCTTACCACTTTCAATTTTATTCATATAAGATCCAAGGTACATTAGCACCTTAAGAACTTTTGTACAGTGTCCTGACAACCTGAACTCCAATTATAAATTTGCTACTATGCAAAAAAGAGTTAAGTTCCAATGACACTTTTTCTAAACTTACGTAAATCATTTATCTGAAACATACCATGATCTACAGTCTTATAAAATGTAAAAGGGGAGAACTCATTCTCAGTGGCAGGAAAAAGGGGGAAGAGATGGGGACGGCACAGCCTTAGGCGTCACTCTTATCTTTGATTTACCATGGTGTGCCGCTGGAAGAAATTAAGTTCCTGACGCCTTGATTCCCTCCTTATGAACAAAAAAGATCTCGTTAAATAAAAAATAAAAAACGTGCGGCCCTAGTACTTTTTATTCCCAACACTCTTTTCCAATGGGCTTGTGCTTAATCTTGGGACACTTTAAAAATTTTTTCTTTTTAATCCTCACTCGAGGTTATATTTATTGATTTTAGAGACAGAGGAAGGTGGGGGCAGGGGGTAGAGAGAGAGAAACATCAATGTGAGAGAGACATTGGTCAGTTGCCTCCCATATGTGCTCCAACCGGGATCAAACCCACAATGCAGGTATGTGCCCTGACCTGGAATCAAACCTGCAAACTTCTGGTGTACAGAACGATGCTCCAACCAACTGAGCCACCTGTCTCGGGTGTCAGAAGACTCACTTTTCTCCCACACATTCTAGTCAGCCACCAGCCACCGCTCAGAGATGGAAAGTGCAATGAAGCCTGTTTGTCATTTAAGATTATGTGACCTCTGAATTCCCTCTCAGTTCTACAAGATAGATCCTTAAAATACAACAAAAACCAATCAGCGTGTACGAGAAGTTGGACAATACAGGTCAAAGTTTGACTTTTGTCTATATTGTTACAAATCTGAAATTGTAGGTGGGGGAAAAATACCTTAGTATCTATAAAATTCTGTAATTGGCTCCAGACAAAGGTGAAGGAATTAACACAACAGAAAGCTGGTTGTTTGGGTGGTATACTGCAGACTTACATGCGTGCACACACACATATTTCTGCTCAGAGTTTGTTCGTATAGCAAGTATACATTTTAAGACACAAATGAAAATACTGATTTGGTTTAATGCCTCCAAAATGTTTCATAGAACTGCTCGCAACTTATGGAATGGCTTTTAAAATAACTCTTCCTTTTAGCACCTTTTAGTTCTTTAAGATTAAACTGTTCCTATATTAGGCTAATCAGGAGTATTTGGGACCAAGGCTCATAGTCAGAGCATAAGTTCTTTTAAATAAATTCACCTGGCCCAGAGAGTTGCTCTTGGATTTGGTAGTAAGGCCTGTTGTACCTGAAACCCAGGGCATCACTAGCCGTTCTAAGAAGCACTTTGGATTTAAAACATAACTCACATTATGAGATGCTCAAAACAGAACCAGGATTCAAGCCATTAGAGATTACATGTGGAGGAGAGAAAGATTTCCTTGACAATGAATGGTAGGAAGGCCGGGGGCAGACAGTAGCTGGTTTGACCCTCAAAAAATGGAGAGATAACATATACCTTTCGGAAATTTTGTAAAGCTTCTTGTACAGTTGAGGATGGTATTTCTCCAAATAGAGTAGCAGCCATTTTTTTCTCAATCCAGCTCAGTTTGGAGACCTGCAAATACAGAGAGCGACATGACTTTTAGAAAGTTGTCATCTGTTGATGAATAATCTTTCCCCAGTTACACGTTTGTGTATGTACCTATGTACGCAGATGCATATAAAACATGTAAATACATATCCATAAATGATGTATAAGAGAGATGCCAGCCTTATGGTATGAATATTTTACCTTCCTTTTTAATAATTCTAACAAACTATGAATTCTGAATGCATTGGTTACAAAACCAATGTGAAATATTCATAACATGATATGTGTTCAGTGAGGGAAAGGGGATGGGGGTGAGGAATAACGCTGACCTTGCCTGTTCATCTGATTGGCCATTCTCAGATGACCGCAAAATATTTCTTGGTGTGAGTGTGCGAGTTACAGGACCCTGCCTCTGCTCTCCTCCTGCCTACTCCATCTGCCAGCCTGCCCCAGAGGGCAGCTCTTCAGGAATTTAAACAGAACGAGGATTCCCAACCGAGAGGGAATGTGGAGTGAGGGCCCAATATACCTACTTAAGATCCAGGAGGAAATTATTTTTTGTTTTCTTTAAAAAGTTTTTCATTTCCTCCAAATATGAATATTAGGTGTTTCTCATAAAAGATTCAGAAATGAATAGTTAAAAGGGTGCCGATGCTCTTCCCGACCCCGTCAAGTGCCTTCCTTCCCAATTCCATCTTCTAGGTTCCTAGGCAGCCACTGACCTCTGTTCAAGAAAACTGTTCCCTTGCTTTTGAACACAGTGTTATGGATTGCTACATTTATTTTTGCTTTAAAAAAAAAACCAACTTGATGAAAATGTTGTGTTATTTCCTTTGATGAGATTTCTTTTACTTATGTTTTTTAATTTTTTATATTTCAATTGCAGTTGACATACCATATTATATTATTGACAGTTTCAGCTGTACTTTTTTACTTAAATATTATAGTTTTAAGATTTTTATCCTGGTTAAGTATAACTGAAGTTCAGTCACTTAAGTAACTGAAATATTCCATCATTTAAACACACATCAACAAATCTTCATCCACTCTTTTGTCAATGGACATTTGGGTCTCTTCTATTTTTTGCTCCTAGGAACAAGGCTGCTAGAGGCATTCTTTTACATACCTTTTGAAGGTATTTGCAAGAGGTTCTCCAGGACAGGCACCAGCGTGGCTCATGTGGTAGGCAAGTAATCAAACTTAAAAGATGCTACCCCCTGGTTTCCAAGATGGCTGTGCCAATGTCTGCTCCTACAGCAGTGCAAGAATTCCTGTTGTTCCATAGCCTTGTAACATCTCACACTGTATTTTAAAATTTTATCAGATGAGTGAGAAAGTAAAACTGGCATGTCATTTTTGTGGTTTTAATTATTATTTCTCATTATTTCTAATGTCAAGCTTTGTTTTTTTAGCTCTGGCTGGTGTGGCTCAGTGGATTGAGCACCGGCCTGTGAACAGAAAGGTTGCTGGTTTGATTCCCAGTCAGGCCACATGCCTGGGGCTCAGGCCAGTCAACTGAATGATGTATCTCTTGCGCATCGAGGTTTCTCTCCATCTCTTTCTCCCTCCCTTCTCATCTCTCTAAATATAAATAACTAAAATCTTTTTTAAAAAGAGATTTGTTTAAGTTGTTTGGTCTTTTAAGTTCTAACTTAACTGTATTATGATCAGAAAACTTGTCTGGTAGCAAGTCTTTAAAATTTATTAAGACTTGCTTCGTGACCTCGTATATGGTCAATTTTATAAACATTCTATGTATGCTTGAAAGTGTGTATCCTCCATTAGTTAGGTACATATTTTCATATGTGTGTATTAGATCAAAGTTATTAAATGCAAGGCTCTAATGTTTACAAACGTAAGACACTTTTTTGTCTTCTTGTTCCTTTCATTACCAAAAGAGGTGGGTGAAAGTTTACCACTGCGCAGTGTCCTTACCTTCCAGGTGTTTTTATGTCTCCTCCACATCTTCCATCCCTTTGTTCCTCTGTGCTGCATTCCAAGTAACATTTTCAGATTTATTTTAAAGTTTGCTAATTCCCCCTCTAAGGGTACCTATGTACTGTTACAATTTTCTATTGAGTTTTCTTTTAATGCCAAATAATATCCTTTTTTATAACAAAAAATTGTTTCATCTTTTTCAACTGTACCTGGTAATTTTTATAGTCTTACTATGTTCCTCATCCATTCCCTCCCATCTAATTCCTCTTATTTGAAAAAAAGCAACACAGATAGGTAGCTATTTAATGTCCTGTGTTCTGTGTTTCCAAAATCTAAAGTCCTTTTAGATCTGTTCTGGGTTTTTTGTTGTTTTTGTTGATCTTCTTTCCTGATGGCTTATTTCTTGTATATTCCATGGTTTTTGATAGTGTTGGGCCACTCTGCGAGAGTTCCATAAAGTGAAGCTTCCTTCCCTCAGAGAGGACTAACATCAGCTTCTGCCATTTGTCTATGGCATGAAGATCTGGTTCCATTTTGCATTAAAATTTCCTTCTTGGGTTTTGAAGCCTAAACAAATAATATACCTGGAAGTTCCAGACTCATGTAAGACTGGGTCAATGGTTTTCAAAGCTTAGCGAAGTCTCCAACCTTCAGGAAGACTCAGATTATTAAAACTGGCATGATAAAAACTGCTTATAAGAGATCTTTCGAGATAATTATAATTAGAGCTGGATGGAGTGTTTGAGATAAGGAATGTAAACCAGGAAATGCACATCTGATCCATAGCAGGCATTCAATAAAAGCAAGCTTCCTACTTCATCCCCAATCCTCTTCAAGCCTCATCCTAAAAGTTTCCTTTTTCACTTACCCCAATTTTCTCATCCACAAATAGTATTTCTCTCCATGGTAATTTTTTCATGCATCTCTTAAGACATATTTTCATATTCTGTTAATTTTTAATAAACTAATGTCATTCAAGACACTTAAAGGTCTTAGACTCACTAGCCACATTTATTTCTACATATCTCATGTCCTTTTCTAAATTAAGTTTCTTGAAGACAAGGACAGTGTTTTATTTATCTTCTGGCCAGTGAGCACATAATTTATACTCAGTTAACTCTGAATGAGGAAAGTCCTCCCACAAAACAAGGAGCCAGTGCACCAGGACAGGCCACCTGTGTGTTGGTGGCAGATGCCCCCATGAAAGAGCACAAAGGGAGAGAGACGGTGTGACTGCTCTGTGCAGAAATGGAAAGGCAGTAAAGGGAGAAAACATACATATTTATATAAAATCATATGTTATATGTAATGTAATATATAAGTTATAAAATATAAATATGTAAACTTATAAAATATGTTTTTTACTCTATTTCCATATAGTAGGTGCTAGGGAAAACAATAAAAGAATAAATTAGTCACTGAAAATATATCATATGATCAGAGTATATTCAAATAAGATTTATAGATAAAAGCAATCGACTTACAGTGTAACAGTATCTTCCCTTGAGGTAATACAAAAAGGGTTCTTCGGGTAATAATTGGATTGCTTTATCTAGATGTTCCTGAAAGAAAATCCCAAAGAAGTATCATCTCCCAAGATCGCAAGGAAGGGCTGAATGGAACCTCACCCAGTAAACTCAGAGGAGCTTTACAGTGTTGTCCGCCCTCTTCCTCAGTCCCTACCACTGACAATTAATATGATTCATCATTATCAATGAATTTGTCATGAAAAATGGATGCTCAGAACAAGAACTGGAACTGTGACTATGATTTAATAAGGCCACAGGTAATTTAAAGCCAAAATGTCACTATACAAACAGAAAACACCCAGTCACATTACTGTCTGCTCACGACACACAAATATCACCCAATTAGAGTATAATGGAGGAAAAAACAGCAGAACTGGATGGCAGAGGGCTCTCCTCCACTGACGCCGTCAAACAGTTACAGGGAGGTGGGAAGCAACCCTGCCCATCACTGTAATTATTGGCCCTGAGGGGTTCTTTATTGAGCTATTACAAATACAGGCATATTATAAATGATATGTATTACCTTACTTATTTCATTCATCCGTCATGGTAAATATAAGCCCTAGATTGGATTCTACTCCTCTTGAGAGTCAATGTGTAGGAAATGTTAGCTAATTAGTCCCGGTCATGTTTACAGTACTGGTGGGCTTGTGACCAACAGGCTAATCCTTTATCTTTGAAAATATTATACTCATCTACCAGATGTATTATTATTATTACATCTAGATTACATCTAGATTTTTGAATTATTACATCTAGATTTCCGAATCTAGCATAATAGTAATCTTCAATTGCTCCAAGAGTTTGGTTCCTTTTGGCATAGTACTATTTGAAGAATGCCATTTCATTCAAATAAAAAAGATAAATCTCTACAGATTAATTTGTTGAATAAATTGATTTGGACCTATCAGTAGAACATATGGCTACATTAAAGCATTTTTAATATCAAGAAATACCTTGAAGCGATGTCCACAGTTGATTTTGTTTCGTAAACCCTCGAACTCAGATACATAGCCACACAAAATCGCATACCTGAAAAAGACACAGACAATGGACATTGTCTGAACTTTTAACCAAATGCCACCAAACTTAACAGTTAAAAAGTGTCTCTGAAGCATTCTTTAATATTTAACAACAGTATTCGCGTAGATGAAAAGGCCCGAAAAATAATGACTACTTGACATTAATGTGAGGCCAGCTTCCTCATCTATAACTGGGGATGCCACCACCATCTGTCTCGTGTATAGGCTGTGAGGGCAAGTACCTAAAACATGTGATTACTTAGAATACTGCCTGGCCTACAGTGAGTTTCGAGAAGTGCAGGCTGCTACTATCACCATCACCAACGATGAAGTCACAGAGAGGCTCTCAGAAAAATCTAATCATATAAGCATTAAATTGAAAAATATACAGTATCCACAAATCCTTGCTTCTTCAATAAAAATAAAAATGTCATGGCCTCCTTTAAAGTCATTTCGAAACAAAAGTAAATATCATGACTAAAAACTAAATAGAGTCAAAGATAATTTGAGAATATGCTTTTCCAAGAAATTCCCCGTGTCCTTCAATCCTTCCTTGGAAACCTGCATTACTAGAGCAGAGTGGCCCATGGATTATTTATTTTTCTCCACTGGGAATACAAAATTTACATAAATAATTATTTGATTATAAATTGGGTGTGATATTTGTTCAGCTATTTGCTTACAGTAAAAATGGGGGATATATTACTTTTCACATTCAGAGTGTTTCTGTCTGTTCAAAAGTCTTTGGATTCTTTATTTCGGAGTGTTTCTGTCTGAGGCAGAATGTTCATTTACTTAAGTATTTCAAAAGCAGGTGTTCACTTTTACTTGCACTGTCATAACTGAAATGACGAAGGTGACTTTGGGTGGTATTTATTTATCTCTGTTGCTTCTGTGGGTAAGCATAACTTTCAAGTGTAAATAGGAAGCAAACAATTTTCTCCTTTTGGAATAGATCACATAATTCACGTAACTTATGCACAACCAATGAAATGGCTGCTTCTCAGTTATTCTTTTTCATCTCTTGAATTTTCAGTTTCTACACAATCAGTGGAACCTGTGACAGCAAAAGCAAGAGTGATGGCTAAATCAACCCACTAACAGTGATCCGAGAACCTAAACAGATGAGGAGATACTACTACTCGCAAATTGTAAAATCAGATGGCACTTCACGTACATCTCTCTGCAGCCACCAGAGAATTTAAGGGAAGACGACAGAAAAAGACTCTTGAGCTCACTCATAACAACTGCTATCGTCACCTCCAGCCTCCCCGTGTTTTTTGAAATGCTCTGTCATTCAGTTCTGTCACTCCTCTCAAAGAGTTCCAGAGAACATGGAGCAAAATCCCACAGGACTGCATCTCCAAACTCTCTGTTTTTGCCATGGGTATCACAACCTATTTGCACTGAATACCTTAGGCCACTTTCCAAAAATAAACTTTTATTTTAAAATAGCTTGTGATTCACAAGAGAGTTGCAAAGATAGTATAAGGCTCCCATATACCCATATCTGGTTTTCTCTACTTTTTACATCTTACTTTACTATAGTGTATTTATCACAAGTGCACCAATACTGACATACAAAACTGATACAGCATTTTCATCAAAAAATTAACTAAACTCCACTTTATTTAAATTTCTACCTGTTTTTATCTAATGTCCTTAAACTTTGACATTGTTTTTCCATCCCTCCTTCCACATTTACTCCTATTAACACCTTATTCAGTGTCTTTTTAAAATTTATTTTTATTGTATTTTTTTCATTACCATTTACCCTCCTTTCACCTCCCGCCCCCTGCAATCACCACACTGTTGTCCATGCCCACAAGTCCTTTTTCCTTCTGGCTCGACTCCTCCATCCCCAACCTCCCCACCCCCCGAGCTGTCATCCTGCTCTTTGAGTCTGTCTCCATTTTGCTTGTTGGTTTGGTTTATTCATTAGATTCCACATATGAGTAAAATCATATGGTTTTTGTCCTCTCTGACTGGCTTATTTCACTTAGCATAATATTTTCCAGGTCCATCCAAACTGTCTCAGAGAGTAAAATTTTCTTCTTTTCTACGGCTGAGTAGTATCCCATTGTGTGAATGTCCCATAGTTGTTTCATCCCTTCATCTACTGATGGGCACTTGGGCTGCTTCATATGTGAAAATCTTTGGGGTTACTTCTGTCACCCATCATACTCCCTGTCCATTTTAATTTGTGTTATTTTGAAACTTTTATAAGCATGCCTTCTGTATCTTCACCCATGGACCAAAGGACTAAGACATAGACCTGGAACTCTAGAACCATCTTCGGACTGACCATGACATTGTCCGTAGTTATTCTGTTGAATAACTAAGGCCCAAACCCTCCTGTCAGCATGGACAGCCGAGAAGCTTGCCCGCATTTCTACATCTTGTTCATAAGAGTTTAAGGAGTGAACCTGCCTTAATGCCTTCTAGCAAAGAAATAAATTTCAAAAAATATCATGTCACATCTTTAGAAAAATCTATGTTGCATCTGCTTGAATGTCCTTATCCACAGATTCGCAGAATAACCTGACTATCAATGCTGGAATCAAAGGGAAAGATTCTACATTCCCTGATGCACAGCAGTGGAATTAATCTTCTGTTTCTGAAAATGACATCTACTCACGCCCATTCTAGGCTTTTACAGTGTTCTCACCACCTTCTCTGAGTTCCCCTGAGAGAGAAAAACACCGTGACTTATGAACATCATCATATGAAACAGGCACAATTTTCCCTTAAACAACCTGTCACTAGAGTCCTATGTTTTTCAGAATCCTTTTGAAGTCTGCTTCTTTAAAGTCTAAAATAGTACTTATTTCTCTACATATCACAGATTCAAAGTTCACCTGCGCCCTTGACCCCGAAGGGTCATTACTCCTTTTCCAGTGAGCAGTTCCACCTGTGTCTCTGGGCGTGTGCAGTGGCTTTTTCTAGTATTCATCTTTAAAATGGTAATTTAAAGTTTCATTTCCTAAACTCTTATACTGATGGGAACTCTGAAGGAAGTTAGTTCACAATATGGTCTATTACCTCCATCTAGAGGTCATTCTAACCACACGCATTTTGACAAAAAATCTTTACTGGCATTGATGTAGAATATATCTTGAATAATCCACAAACATTCTCATTTCAATAACTACTAGAACAACTCCATTAGCTTCCCTGCAGCACTTCTGATCAAGCATGAATGCCATCTATACATTCAGAAAGCAGAGGAAGAATAATGTAAGAGAATATGAGTATTTAAGAATATAAGGTCTGCCTTTGTGTTTCCACTTATTGTATGAACACTGGTTACTAATCTACATATCACACCACACACACACACACACACACACACACACACACACACTGCCTTGCTTACCCTATCCGTAAAATGAAAAGAAGTTGTTCTGTGAATCACATGCTATGAGGCATATGGATATAATTTGTGCACAGTAGAGCACAAAATATGTAAGACATTATTTATAATTAAGGTCAGGCCACTTTGGCTAACAAACTGTAAATTCATTGGTGGTTTTAGTCTCTTGATTCCAGAACAGAAAGCTCATTCACCCTTAAAGTTACAAAGCAATTTCACTCTGGAAAAGATGAAGATGAAAAACAAGTCTTTTAAATAATACTGTTTTTCACTTATTCCCTTGATGTTAACCTTTTACGATAATTATTCCTAAAGACTGCATCTTTTATTTCAGAACGAAGGCTCATAAACCATCACAGAACCCTGTAAACTGTGGGTCGGCAAAGTTGTGTTGCCAGGTCAGCTAGCAAACATGTTAGACGTTGGGACAGAGTCTCTGTTGCAACTATTCAAGTTCATGGCTAGGTACAAGTGCAGGGTGAGGCTGTGCTCTAAGAAAACTTTACTTACAACGGAAGGTAGTTAGATTTGGTCTGTAAGCCATAGCTGGTTGTTTATGCTGAATGAATAAGAAAATGTCTTAACATACTAACAGAGATTCCAGCAGAATACGACCCTTTCACTACATTTTATTTTAATAATGGAATTGGCAAACCTAAATTTTACCCATTGCTTCTCAAGTTTTAATTTCTCTTTTTTCATCACCCTAAGCCTCTATTATTTACATGAATATGAACTCTTGTATATAGTAAATACATTATATACATTCCAAGAATTTAGACAAAATTGACATTAGAATTTGTTACATTTTAATCAACCGATTAGATTTTAATATTTTTTACTATTCTAAAAGCTGATATTGAATAAGAAATATGTGAAACACAATTGGATCATTACTATGGGTATGTGTTGATAAGATTTAACTTTGGGGTTAAATCCCATGGTTATTAAAATAACAGTTTGTTCACAACAAAAAGTGTAGAAAATCCTGATGAACAAAGGAGAAGAAGCCAGGTTAATGCACGAGAGACTGGGCAACCCACTCAGGAAGAGTTCAGCGTAATCTCTCCTCGGAAGATGGATCTCATGGTACTTATGAAGCCCTCAAAGAAGAATCAACATTTTCCCCTGTGAAAATTTGGAAGCTCACACTGATAAGTGCCCTCAAGTTGCGAATGAACATCAAATGTAGGTTTGGAATGTGATTCTTCTTGGATGCAGATGCAGTAAGGGCAGTGGGAGAGGAGAGCAGAGGAAAAGCAGCCCAGCAGGGGGAGAAGGAAGAGGAGGGAAATCAGGAGGAACGGCTTAGTGAAGAGAAGAACCGGGGTGTTCTTCTGGATTTAAATCTAGCTAACCAGCTCCCACACACCCCCAACACTGAAGGAGATGAAGAGTGTGGCTAGGTCAGTACAAATTCATTACTATTACTATAAAAAGTAGAAGAACATAAGTACCAAATGCATACATGGTAATTTATTAATATTATTATACGAATTAGAGAAGAAAGGTATAGTTGGCTATAGAAATAATAGCCAAGAACCTTATATACTGGGGCCATTATTGTAAAGATATGTACCAGGATGTTGACTGCAAAATTACCTTTGTCCTCGAGTTCTGGCAGAGGTACCACCAAGGACACAGGACAATATTGATCTACTAGGTCTTCCTAAAGCAAGACACTCTACTATCCATGCATGACATGCTAAGAAAATGATTCACAGGTACTCCCAGGCTTAGCCCTTCACCTCTCTCCAGGCTATCTAAGAGAAGGCTATCAGCAAAGAATTCGCTGTGGGCGACAGCCACATGGAGTGAGAGTTCTATGAAGAGAAGTGGTAGGTACTGTGGGTTCCATCTCTCACTTTCTTATGGGAGAGGGCAGGGGGTAGGCTTACATCTCGTATAAGGCAAGTGAGGGCAGCTTCAAAAGACCTCTTCTTATTTTGCATGTGTCCCTTGCAGTTTAGGGGCCATAAAAAAATGTTGACTTCTGCCCAGGGAAGTTTCGAGATGAAAGTTTGTGGGTGGAGCTCCCCCTCCTGGTGGCAGAGTCGAGAAGCAGGTCTGCTTTGGGAAAACTGTGTACATTTCCAGGGTTGGTGGGGCAAAAATGAATTTCCTGCGGGACAGACATCAACCTGTGGAAAGGGGCACATTTTGAGAGAGATTTTGCCTCAGAGTGCCCCAGAAGAATAAATTAATCTCAAAGAAGGATGGATTTCTGGAAACCTAGGTCTGAGAGAAGGCTCATAATTAATTTATCACTATAGCTTCCTAGTACCTAAAGTACTTGTATTGCTAGGGAGGAAAAAAAAACCTAGGAAACTAAAAAATGTTGCAAAACTGCAACTAAAAGTAAAAAAAAATATTGATTAAAATGTTCTTATTTGTGCTTTATAATTCTATACGTATGAAGAATTCAAAATAAAATATACTCAAGAATAAACTTTGTTTTTGCTCCGAGGATATTCACCTACACCCATCCCACCAATTAAATATTCTTTGTCTGAGTTTGCTTATATTATAAGCAGCTTTTCTTTGACCTGTGGAATTTGCATACCTTTACTCATCAAGGTATGAGAAATGGCCAATAGGCATTTATTCTGTGAAGCATTCTTTCTACATTTCAATCAGAACCACAGAATCATTTTAGTATTTGTTTTTAAATAAAATGTTATATTAAGTTACTTTTAATCAGAATTCATCAAATTCAAAGTCAATGAACTTGATATTCACTTATGAAATGTTTAATGAAAGTTTACCTTAAATATATTTAAAGTATACATATTAACAAATACATGAAAATAAACAGAACAAGAACAGTTAGTGTTATTTACTAGATGTATTTTTCAGTGAATGTGACAGGTTACATGGTCAGTAATATTTTTAAATTTCACTGTAATTATAGAGGCATATTAGAATTTTTAAAGACTGCATACATTTTATGTACTTACCACAGATGACAGTGTCCATTCATGGGTGCTCTAGTTATAGCTTTTTCACCTAATGTCTTTCCTGAAAGATAAATGTACTTACACTTAGTTCCTCGATTTGAGTTGGTAAAGGGTAGATTATTGATTTAAATGAGTGGTTTCCAAAGTGTGGTCCCAAGACCAAGAGCATCACTTGGAAACTTGTTAGAAAGCAAATTTTTGGTCCCGTGGGAGACTTACCTGATCACAAACTCTGGGACTCAGCCATGTGTTTTAACAAATCGCCAGTGATTCTGATGTATGCTCAAGTTTGAGACCCATTGGACTAAGTGATTTAACCACGTGCAAGAAAAGTCATTCAATTATTGTTTAAAAGGATTAATAGAAATTGTTTTGTAACTGACTCAACTAACATTTGTTGAGCGCCTTCTAAGTGCCAGATTATGTGTACTTCTGGGAACAAAAAGTCAAATAAGACATAGTTCTTGAGTTCCAAGGGCTCACAGTAGATATATAAATAGGCCTATAAACAAACAAATTACATACAAAAAATAAAACGTAAAAAAAAAGCACAGCAGAGAACAGAGTGAGCAACTAACTTCACTAAAAGAGCAAGGGAAGGCAGCCCAGAGAAGTTCACACCATGTCACTCAGAGTAAAGAACAGGCTCAGTACGTAAATAAGTCTCCCACATTGTTTTGCTTAGTTTAGAATAATGTTTAGTAATGTAGTAATTACTTTGAATAGAGGTTTGTTTATTGGTTTGAAAAGTCCTAACGCTTGCAACAAACCTGTACCACATTCTGAAAAATTTTCTCAAAATGTGCCGATTTTATTTTATACCATCTCCTTTTTCCCAGCACCATTTTTTTTTTTTTTTTTTTGCCTTGGAAAGAATACCCAATAATCCAATAACAACCCAATTCCTATCAAGATTCTAATGACGTATTTCACAGAACTAGACAAATATTTCAAAAACTTATATGTAACCACAAATGGCCCCGCATAGCAATAGCAATCCTGCGAAAGAAGGACGAAGTTGGAGGAATCATGCCACCTAATATCAAACTATACTATAATGCCATAGTAATCAAACCAGCATGGTACTAGCATAAACACAGACATACAAATCAATGGAACAGAGTAGAGAGCCCAGAAATAAACCCACATATTTACAGTCAATTAATATTTGACAGAGGAAGCAAATACATATAATGGGCTAAAAATAGTTCAATAAATGGTGCTGGGGAAAGTGGACAACATATGAGCAGAAAAATGAAACTAGACCACCTTTTTGCACCACACACAAGAATAAATTCAAAATGGATTAAAAACTTAAATGTTAGATCCCAAACCATAAAAATTATAGAATAAAGTATAGGCAGTAAAATCTTAGACTCTGCTTATAGCAATATTTTATCTGATATATCTCCCCAGGCAAGGGAAACAAAAGAAAAAATAAACAAAATTACATCAAACTAAAAAGTTTTTGCACAGCAAAGAAAACTATGAACAAAACACAAGGACAACCCATGGAATGGGAGAACATATTTGCCAATACATCTGATAAGGGGTTAATATCCAAAATTTATAAAGAGGTTACAAAACTCAATACAAAAAACCCTAAACAATCCAATTTAAAAATGGGCAAAGGACCTGAACAGGCACTTCTCCAAAGAGGACATACAGATGGCCAGTAGACAAAAGATGCTCAGTGTCACTAATCATCAGAGAAATGCAAATTAAAACCTCAATGAGATATCACCTCACACCTGTCATGGCTGATCTCAGCTCCAATGTATTTACTTTGGCATCACCAAGCACTTACTACCTGTACACTGAGTGAAAATTGCCTGTCTCCATACTGTCCTGCACCGTAAGTTCCTTAGTGTCCCACTGTCTTGATCATAGTTACCTCTCTCCCCCGCTCCCTCTTCTCCTTCCTTTCACCCTTCATTGGCCATCATCAATAAATCAACAAACAACAAGTGCTGGTGAGGATGTGGTGGGAATGCAGGTTGATGCAGCCACTGTGGAAAGCAGTATGGAGATACTTCAAAAAATTAAAAATGGATTTGCCTTTTGACTCCATGATCTCACTTCTGGGAACATATCTGAAGGAACCCAAAACACTAACTCAGAAGAACATAAGCAACCTGTATGTTCATTGTAGCATTATTTACAATCAACAAGATATGGAAGCAGCCCAAGTGCCCATCAGTAGATGAGGGATAAAATAATTAAGGGACATTTACACAATGCAATACTATATGGCCGTGAACAAGAAAATCTTACCCTCTGCAGTAGCATGAATGGACCTAGAGAACATTATGCTACGTGAAGTAAGCCAAAGAAAGACAAATACCATAGGATTTCACTCATATGTGGAATCTAATGAACAAACTGAACTAACAGGCAAAATAGAGACAGACTTATAGATAGAGAGCAGGACGACAGCTGGAGAAAACAGTGGGGTTAGAGAGCAGATGGATCAAGCAAAAAGGATAAAGGACTCATGGGTATGGATGACAAGGTGGTGGCTGCCAGGGTGTGGGGGGTACAAGGGAGCTAAATGGTAATGGAAAAAATGCAATAATTTTTTAAAGTATTTAATATAATGAATTTTAGAACAATTTATATTGATATACTTTGATTTTCTTAGTAGATATAAAAAGTCAGTTTTTTCTCTTTGGTTAAATTTTTATTTACCTTCACGTTAATAAATCTCTTCTCTAGAATTCCATTTTGTCTATGGCCTGCGAGATGACTTGCTGTGGAAAAACTGCCCCACAAACTGATGATGGATTTTTAACGAACAAGAGGATTCCTCTCATCCACCCCCTACTGAGAGAGAATCGAAGCACAGTGGTCAACTGGCAAGGAAATCACTGGCGGAAGAAACGTAATTACAGAAGTTTGGAAATACTTTCTTCTTGGAAATAAAAAGGACAGAAAAAGAGACTGGAAGGAAATCTGAAGTATCATTGTCTTCCTGCTGTATCTTCCCCATGTTATCTTAGACAAGGAAAGCTTGCAAAAGAGAGGACGTTGGAATTAAAGAAGTTTTTAGTCAGATCATTAACCTGAAGCTCATGGAAATGGCAGTGAAGGGACTTCTTGCAAGAAAGAGTTTTGCTATCCAGTGAGAGTCAAGGTGAAGTACACATATATAAATAGCTTAATATTCTGGCTCTTTTTGTTTTGTTGTTTTTATTATGGAAAATTTCAAAAATAAGCAGAAGAGTATAGAGGACAGTATCATAAACCACCATGTACTTATCCCTCAGCTACAACAATGGTCAACTCAAGGTTAACCTTGTTTTATCAAGATAAATTTTGAAAAAACTAATTAAAGTCTGAGTAGTTATTTTTTTGTGGTACCTGGAGTTCTATGTTATAGGAAGCGGGAAGGTTATTTTAGTTGTGGTGAAAGACAATTTTTGAGGATAAGTGTCTTCTGCCTATTATCGCTTCTCGAACGTTAGCACTTCATGTCTCATCTTTCTGTGGCTTTATTATTAAACATTAAAAGCTACAGCCCTGGCTGGTGTGGCTCAGTGAATTGAGCGCGGGCCTGTGAACAAGACATTCGCAGTTCAGTTCCCAGTCAGGGCACATGCCTGGGTTGCGGGCCAGTTCCCAGCGGCGGACGCATGAAAGGCAGCCATACATTGATGTTTCTCTCCCTCTCGCCTTCCCTTCCCCTCTAAAGATAAATAAATAAAATCTTAAAAAAAAAATGTTTTAAAAGCTACAATTTGAGTTTTCCAGTTGCTTACTCTAATGTATTCAAACATTCTTAAAGAACCTACACTTAGTCCTACAAAACCTTTTTGTCCTTAGACTGCGTGTATTTTTCAGTACCAGGGTATACTGGAATAGATTAAACATATTGATTTTAGCTAAGATAATTTAGCTTTAATTAAAATTCATTAGTGTTTTATTATAGGCAGTAATTGCCACTTGAGGATAACTGATCTTTACAAAATACTTACCAATATTAGCGTAATGTTTCTTTTCTTGCATATTTGTAGAGAGCTCATACATGTCTCCATAAGCACGAGCAAACCGCCAAATAAATTCTATTTCATCTCTAAACTGAAAAGATAGAACCACAAGTCAGACTAACTCAGCACCTCGACCAAACTAAAAATGTTTTCCACTGCAACTTTAACAGATTAGGTAGGCAAGCTGGTATTTATAGATGGCTGAATCTATTCCTGTGCATGTAACATTTTAAATGAAAATATTCATGGCTACAAAAATATTCATGGCTACAAAAATGACTTAAATATTCATGGCTACTTAATGAAACTTTAATATAGTGTTACATTTGGAACTTAAAGCCAATTAATACTATGCAGACATTAGCCCCACACCTAGGTAGAAGACAGACTTGATAGATGCCAGAATCCACACACTCTCCCTGGGTTGTAGTATCCTCTTATTTATTTTCTAAGTTATCTACTATCAATGCAAAGTTTCAATGAGTGTTTCAGATAGTATCAGTAAGTTATTACAGATCACAAATGACTCAAAAGAGCAGCTGTTTTTTTTTTTACCTAAATTACCTAAACATAATCCTGGAGATTTAAAAACTTCTAGACAATGTGTTTAGAGTTACTCAATTCTCAAAGGTTAGATTTGTTTATGGGAAAGAGATTTATTGCCTTTGGGATTTTGCAAACTCTTATTTTTGATGTTGGTATTGGTGTAGGTGGTCACAGTGGTGATGGTGGTGGCGGTATTGGTGGTGGTGGTGATGATACTGGCGTTGATGTTGGTAGTGATGGTGGCAGTGGTGGTGACTGTGACAATGGCAGGAATGGGCTTCCCCAATTCATCCCAACATTAAACACTGAAGAATAACCACTGATAGAAGAAGATTAAAACATTTATATTAATAATTGCTGTTAGTAACTCTAAGTTAGAAAACTTAAAATGTAATTTTTCTTCCTCCTTAAGAGTATCAATGTGTCTTATTATTTATGTAATAAAATATTAAATATAACAAATTAATAAAAATCAAAGTACTGTATTTTGCTGTGTATAATGTGCACCCATGTTTTTGTGCATATTATACATGGATTATTATGCCCATTCTATACCCATGGTATGTAATCATAATACCCATGCAAGTATAATGAGCATCCTTATTTTTCCCTCAAAAAATTGGGCAAAAAGTGTGCATTATACACAGCAAAATATAGTAAATCTGAATACTCATATCTCTAATTCCCACTTTCAGAATCTTGGAGCCTAATAAATTGTTATAAACACATTATACAATTTTTCATCATATTACAGAAACACTTTGCATCAGTCATTAAGCTCCTGTGAACTCTGACACAACTCTTATGGTTAAATTATGAATGGGATAGTAGATTAAATAAAAAATCAAAACTATACGCATGTTATTATCATATATCTCTTACCTTTTCTTTGTGGTCCCAAAGTAGTTCAAAACTCTCCATTTTGCTGGACTCATTCATACGTAAGTGATCTGCCTTCTGCAGAAGGACATCCAACTTTAATTCCTCAGTGTGTGTGTTAAGTGCTTGGAGGACTGGGAAACTCTGTTCTTCTGTGTCAGTATTAGCTGTAACATACCTAAAATTGCAGAAATAATCATCAACTCTCTTGAAAGTGATACGATAGTGGCCAGAGTAACCCTTTAAAAATCATTCCACTCTTATGCTGAAACCCTTTTGCACATAGAAAATCTCAAGTCCTCACCACGGTCCAGGAGGGCCTATGTGATTTCTCTCCTAGCCCACACCACCTCTCCGGTCCTACCCCTCTTCTCACTCACCCAGCTCCGCACCGGCTGCCCAGCTGCGCCTTAAACATGCTAGTCACACTGCCACCTCAGGACCTTCGCTTGCTCTTCCCTCTGATGGAATGCTCTTCCCTCATATCCTCACCTCTTTGCAGTCTCAGCTCCAATGTTGTCACCTCCAAGCGGCCCTCCCAGGCCACTCTATCCGTTACTGCAACCTCCACCCTGCAACCCACCCATTCCCTCCACGGCCAATTTCCCTTATCACAGCTGGCATTTCTTCCCTGTAGGACGTATCATCTTCTACTATACTATATAATTTACCAGTCTACTCCACATGCTTTTTCTTTTTATTCAGCATCACCCCCACTGGATTGCATGGTCCCTGACAACAGGGTTCTTTGTTTTCTCAGTGATGTATCAAGTGCCTAGAACAGCACCGGACACATAGTAGGTATGCACTGAACATTGGCGAATGCTCAGCAGGCACTCAAAGACACGCGCATACGTATGTATTTATAGTTCCAGATGATGTTCTAATTCTCAGTTTTAAAAAATTCACACTACTTTCCACTTTTTTTATGTGGCATACAGAAAACAATCTGTTTTCATTTATTTAAAACTTGTCCTGTTCTAAAAAATTTTAAGAAGGTATGTAAGGATGCATAACATATAAGAGAACTAATTAGAAGTAGTGAAAAAAGATAAAAACAAGGCCAAATGTGAGTGAGGTAAATAAAAAAATACATATATGTTAAATATCTATATCCATACTACAAGGGACACAAATCTTCCAGTAGCCAATGTAGCCACAGTCCTGAGCAAATACTAACAAAGATACAAATGAAACAAGTTTTTGAGAGAAGTGCAACTGTTTCCAATACCAAATAAATTTATTTCAAAGCCCTCATAAAGAAGGCGCTATATGAAATGATATTCAACTTCTTCAACAACATTATTAATGGAAACTTCATTCTTCCGTTGCCCTATCAAAACACTTAGAATCATCCTTGGCTATTCTTTTTCTCTCCTAGGCAATATCCAGTCTGTTAGAAATTCCTCTGGGTTCTATCCTCAAAACAGATCCAGAAGACAGCCACTGTATCACCACCTCTGCCTACTACTGCCCTGGTCTGAACCACCATCCTCCCACCTGGATCACTATAATCACATCTTCCTGCTGCAGTCCTTGACCCTTATAGCTGATTCTCCACCCAGCAGCCAGATGGTCTTTGGAAAACCTGATTCCAATTATGTCACCCTGTGCTCAAAACCTCCAATGGGTGTCCAGATCAGAATGAAAATCCGAGTCCTTATAGTGGCCCACAAGGCCCTACACAATCTGCCCCAGTGCCCCAACCTCATCCACGGTGCTCCTTCCCTGCCCACGGCCCTCCAGGTGCTCTGGCTGCCTTGAGAGTCCTTGAACACATCGGTCACAGTCCTGATACAACAGCTTTGTACTTGCTGTTCCTTCTGCCTGTTCTGTTCTTCCCTGAAGAGCCACATAGTTCAATTCCTTGCCTGTTTCACATACTCGTTCAAATGTAATGCAACCCTCTTTTACTGCAAATGATATGGTTATTTACATAGACAACATTTAAAAATCTGCAAGTTATAACACCAGCAGGAGAGCTTAGCAAGTTGGCTACATGTGAGATTGACATATAAAAGTCAGTTTCATTTTTTTATATATTAGGAGCAAAGAACCTAAAAAGCATAATTAAATATTTAATTTACAATGATCTCAGAGAATATCAAATACCTAGGAATAAATCTAATACAAAATATGGGAAAATTCAATGGAGAACATTATAAAAGATGCATTAAAAGATGTTTAAAAGAGACCTATTATGCATGAAAAAAGTCTATAGTTAAAAACACAATATTATATGTAAATTCTCTCCAGATTAATCTACAGATTCAATGTAATCCCAATTTCATGAAACTAACAGGAATTTTCACATGAAATTTAATGAGATGACTCTAAAAGTGATATGGAAAAGTAAAGAGCCTAGAACATTCAGAGCACTCTTGATGAAAGAGAACAGGGAAAGAAGATTTACTTCACTAAAAATGAGGACAAATTAGAGCTACAATAATTAAAGACAGTGTGTACTGGTACAAGAATAAATGGGTGAGTGACAGAATAGAGTGGAGCCCAGAAACAAATCCATCCATATGACAGGGGACCCCCAAAACCAGAATTATCTTCTGGAGGGCAGCCCCTTGTAGTACAGGCTTCCCCAACTAGGTGAATGTGCTAGGAACCCATCTGTATCAGTGCACCAGCTGGTGTTGTGAGAGGCTACGTTTGGACTCAGGGAATTTTTTTTGAAGACTTTTTCTGCCCATTTCCTGATGGGCAATTTTACGAGTGTACCTGCCCACACTGTGCTCTGTTCAGCAGTTTTTAACCTCAAAACGGCCTGACCTTATGCCCCACCCTCACTATTCACCTGATCTTGCTCCTGACATTTTTGGTTTCCCCAAATGAAAAAAAGTCTTCAAAGGGAAACATTCTGCCAATGTGGGAGAGGTGAAAACAAAAAATGGCAGAAGCACTAAAAGGCACCAATATCAATGAGTTCAAAAACTGTTTTGAGCAGTGGAAAAAAACATCTCGATAAGTGTATTGCATTGAAAGGAAAGCACTTTGAAGGTGACTGAGTTTAAACATGTAAGAATACATACACGATTTTGTACAAATAAATCCCATTTTGGGGGTCCCCCCTCATACATGGAAATGTAGAACATAACAGAGATGGTATGTCAAATCTCACATCAGTATGGATTGAGCTAAAAAAAGTGGTTATCTCTACAAAAACAAAATGAAATTGAATCTCTACCTTTTAATATTTAAAAATAACTCTAGATGGTATAAAGAATTAAAACTGTTTAGGTGATTATCTTTCATTCTTTAGGATAAAAAAATTTTAACTAAGATAAAAATCATTAAATATAAAGAATTATTAACTATAGACGAGTAATCAATTTGACTGCATGAAAATGAAAAACTGCTGCTAATCAACAGATACTTTCAAAAATACAAAAACAATTTAAAAACTAGAAACAGGTGTTTTTTAACACACCTCACTGGACAACATTAATTATAAGAATACATAAATATTTCCCAAATTAAGTAACAAACACAGTAAACTCCATGGAAATATGTTCAAAAATATAATAAATAGGCTTTCCCAAATGAGTAAATACATATAGCCAAGAAAAGATGCCAAACATTCACTGGTGATGAGAATTGCAAAGAATGACCACGAAGAGCCACTGTTTTACATCTTTTCATTTACAAAATTTAGAAAGTCTGAAAACACCAAGTGTTGGAGAGGAAGTTCATCCATAGGGTTTGATGTGCATGTGAATTGGTAAAACCAATCAGGAAGGCACTTCGGCATTATCTTTCTATTATATTGAACCTTCACATACCTAGGGCCCAGCGCCCAAGTCCCCTACATGCACACCACAGGACAGCTGTGTGCAGACAGCGACAACAGCACTTTCCCAGTAGCAAACGCCGGGTAATAACCTGCACGCCCAACAGGCGAGTGGATGAGTATTAAACAACAGTCGAAACGAGAGAAATGCAGTGATGTACACATGCCAAATACAGAGGAGTCTCAACGAACTCATATTCAGTGGAAAAATAAGCTCCTAAAATTCTATACAGTATGATCCCCCTTCTATAAAAACAAGGAAGTTAAATGTTTTTTAAGGAATACACACATGCAATAAAATTATACAAAAAAAGAAAGCCAGGAACGAACAATATAGATTCAGAATTAAGGGCTGGCAGGGGATCAAACGAGGATTATTGTTTGGGTCCTATCTTTTATTTTAGGAGGTGGCTTCATGGATACTTATTACCTTATTTACAACTAAGCATATACATTGGTAAGAGTGACACATGCATGAACCAATCATCCAGGTCTGCATGAGCTGAAAAGAATTTTTAATTCAATTTTATGCACCAGAGATATAATTTAAAAAGTTATAATAAGAAGAAAGTCATGATATTAACATTAGATGTAATATTCTTTAGGGAGAAAAAGCAATTAATTTAAAGACAGACATAAAACAATACTTCTATGCATCTAAAAACACAAGCTCCAAATACATAAAAAGCACAAATTAAAAGATATACAAAGAGTAATTAAATCCACTAATCAGAATGGGAGATTTTTAACATGAAATTCTAAGTAATGGATAAAATACATGAAAAAATAGTAAGGATACAATATAAACACCAAAGTTAACAAGCTCAGGTCAAACCAACATATATAGAACTAGACATGGAACATCTGGAGACCACTTTTTATTCTAGCACATATGGAATATTTAGGGAAAATGCCATGTGCCCAAGGCCAGAGAGCAAGCCACAGAAGATAACAATCTCTCTTGTAGACTATATTCTCTGTTCACAATGCAACTATATTAGAAATCACCACTAAAAAGTAGAGGAGAAAAACTGAACATTTAAAAATAATTTTAAAAAGCATACTTCTAACTATGCTTACCAGAATGGCTAAAATGAAAAAGAGAAAATCCTAAGGGTGGGTGAGGATGTGGGGAAAACAGAGCTCTAGCCTATGGCTGCTGGGAGCGTAAGTAGGTATAAGTGACTTGGAAATATGTGTGGCAATGCATTTGAAATCTGGATATGTGCACTCTATGGATCTAGCAATTTCCTATCTAGGAATATACCCAATAGAAATGTGTACCTATGTTTATCCAGTCATAATATTCCACAAAAGGAAACTATCAAACGACTATTAGAAATAGAAAGCTTAAATACTGTGGTATATTTACACAACAG